TCAACAGCTTCCCACCATCCCAGCGTTCACAGCTTGGATCCACAGTGGAGAAGTGGCAGGTTTGTGACTGACTACAGATACACATTTCAGATGAAAAGAGCTATTTCTATCCTTTACAAATCCCTGGCTTATGGAAAAGGTTGTTTTATTTACTGTACAATGTCAGCTCCGACTCCTGTGTCCAACCCAGCCCTGATGGTGTGGGCTGGGGAAGCCTCACTGCACTCACTCCAATAGCAGTTGCTGCTCGTGCAATGTGTCATGTTCTCAGGGCTGGAGATCTTTCAGCAGCACTGGACTACGATTTGTTGGTTGTCTGCTACTGCAGGGCTCCCTTTCAGCCCAAGTCACCAATTTTTTTAGGAGATATGATAGAATCTTATAACCACAGGATGGTTTGGGTTGTAAGGGACCTTAAAGATCATCTCGTTCCAACCTCCTGTCGTGGACAGGGATGCCACTTACTAGATCAGGTTGCTCAGGGTTGCTCATCCTTGAACTTGCAGGGATGGGGCATGAGCTGGTGATGAGCTAGTCTACTTTGAGACCATGTCTCTGCATATTTTCAGCTAATCAGTGTTCACATTAAACACCCAAGGTCAGTTCACAGCACACAGCACATGTGCCTCTGCAGTTCTCAACAAAAAATTCTAGCTTGCAGATTATCTCTCAGAGACAAACACCTGGATGAAGTTTGCTGTCTGGACCAAACTTGCATGCTAACATGCAGGAAAATATTATAAGAAACCTGATGAACTGTAATGCCACCTTCAGCTAAGGAAGACGGCTCCAAATTATCATAGGAGCATGGGCACCTGTAGCTCTTGTCTGCTGGACTCACCAGCACCTTCTGGGAAAACAGAGTTGTCTGAGTTACTGCATCACATGAAGTTAAGTCCTCTACTAGTTCCTGAAATTGTGGATGACTGTGTACAGTATACTACTTCCCAATTCAAGAAAATCCAATTTAGACACATTATTTATCACCTATCTCCAATCTACAGATGGCCAAATGTCATCTTTACTCCACATAATTCGAATATTTACCTGTAAAACTGGAAAAGGAAAAGGTGAAACCCTCATAGAAGAAGAACACATAATTGATAAATACAGAAGATACAGAGGATCAGTGAAGAGCCAGTTTTCTTAGGCCAGTGCCCATATGAAGCTTCTGGAAGCACACAAAGCTGTACTGTTTTGAAATGTTTCAGGATGCCAGAAGCAATTCAACAAATTAAACATTAAAAAAAGAAAATAAAGAAAAAAAAAAGTCAAAAAAGAGCCCTGCAGCTATTTAACATGTGCTTTATTGATGTGGTTTCTTTTCAGAGGATTTATCACCTTTAATTAGCAAAAGAGTCTGTCACAAGATCCGAATTGTCAGTCACAGTGCTCACAGAACTCCCTGACAGCACTGATGAGACATAAACTGAGCACTCTGTGACAAAGTTCATGCTGTAACAGCATTAAATCCCATCAAGCCTGACTTTCAGACTACACCTGGGCAGGTGGGCCAGCTGTAGTTCAGTTCTCTGCTCTCAGAACCAGAGGAGCTTGTGCTCTGGCCACAGCCCTGCCCTGCTCACGCTCCCAGAGCCAAGCCCTTCATCTGGCACACATTCTTAGATTTTTCTACCACCAGCACCAAAATTCCCTTACTGTTAATTGAAATCTATTAATTCTAATGTCATCCCTATCTGAAAATGACAAATTGTTTTTCCAATTTGCAGCAGCATTTCAGATTTTTGGATATTTAGCATACGTGGCCTTGGGTCTTTGGAGTAAACTCTTCCACTGCCATTCTTGTTCTGACTCTCCTCGTGCTTTCTGAGCCATCTTCAGTTTTTTCTTATCCTCCCCCTCTCCACCCTACCCAGCACCACTGGCACAGAACCTAAACTGAAAAGCTGTTATTGCAACTCTGTTTTCATGTCCTGCCCCAGCTGGGAAACCACATGTGAAATTAAAATACCTAAAGAGTCATTGTCCCTTGTTGCTGATGTTTTTTGGACCTTCAACCAGAGTTCCTGTCCTCACTTGCCTGAAGACACAGCCCTCATACAGATTTCCTTTTAAAACATCAGAGATTGTATCTGTCATGGCAAAAGGCACCATCTCTGCAGGCTTTGGATCTGCTGGTATGTCTGTATTTCACACTTGTGCCAGGCATTGACACACACAGGCTGCAGTGCTGCTTGGCCAGCTTACTCACCCAAATGTACCACAAATACCCCGCCAAGCAGTGAAAGCAAGAACAAAACAGGTTTGTTCATTGATAGTCCATGGAGCTGGCATTAAGAAATATCACAGGGCTTTATGCCCTATGCAGCCTGTGTAGTACAAGAAACCAGAAACATGAACCCAACCATTGGGCTAAGGACAAGAACAACTGCAGGAACTTGCAATAAAACAGCTGCACGTGAGCTTTCACTTCAAGGCATCACTGCTCCCAAACACCCATCCAGGCTTCTGTAAAGAGCTGCAGGTAAGTTCACAGTGTCTCCTGAGGCAGATTAATTCATTAACAGCTGCAGCCACATTCTGCAGGCTCACAGGACAGCTATCTCAGCACTGGCCCTGCAGTCAATGCCACCTTCCAGCACACTCACAAGTCACCAGGCACTACCACGACAGCCCTGATCCCGGTCGGAGCAATGCACGGGGGATGGGAAAACCAAAGCTGACACAGAAATGAGCTTAAAAAACACTGCCAAGACTTGCCAGACATTCTTAACAAAAGCCATACTGGGGGAAAGGCTTGACTGATTATCTGAGACCAAGACTTCATGAAAAACATTCAAGAACCTTGGAAACCAACAGTTTCCTCAACAAAGTTTTCTATGAAATGTTAATAAACCTTTCAGAAAACAGGCTGTGCTGCAGATTTTCTGTTGCCTGGCACCTGTTCAAATTTAGAGAAAACATTAAATATTTTCACAAGTGTAATTCTTACATATGTGGATATGCTTTTTTTTACTGCCACTGGTAAAAACAATGTATTTTTGGCTCATTTTTTCTGTTTCTTTTTTTTTTCTATATATTTCATTTTAAATGGTCTTAATTTGTGACAAGAAAAAATAAAATTGATAAAACTGAAAAAGGGCTTGGGATATTTCTCCCTTATTTGTCACCCCCCAGTAAAGTCTTTCAGGTTCCATTCTACCTTCAGCTACATTTGTACAACCCTTCAGAAGGGCACAGTCCAAAACAAACACGAGGAAGGAACCTGATCCTCACTATTGTGATCCAAAGAGTTGAGTTTTTTTATTAAAGGATTTTTTTAGTGTGGTTGGTTGTTGTTGGGATTTGTTTGTTTGACTAAAAGAAATGCTTCCCCTGAACACATACAGGTTTTCAGGAATAAAATCCTTACTGAATTTCTAGACAGGTAAGGAAAGACTTGGTATGTGAAAGACATAAACAAGAAGCCCATCAACATTACTTATAATATTAATATTACTTTCAACACCTTAAGTATTTAAACTCTAGTTTGGTGGGGGATGTACATTTGCAATCATCAAATTATATCAGAGTTAGCCACACTGAACTGATATTCACATTTTCCTATACAACATTAAATTTTAAATTAAGCTGATCAGGGAGGTTTGGGAAAGACAAAAAAGTAAAGCCTTGGCTTTTGCTGGAAGCAATTGAGCTGCCCGGGGTCAAGGACTGAACAGTCACAGCCAAAGGGAGCACCAGGGTCACCTGATCCGTACAGTACTGGGATAGTCAGTGTGTAAATTGTTGCCACTTCACATGCTTTCACTGGAGACACCACACTGAGTTGCTTTTTGGGGTTCTTTCCCCCTATTCTTTGTAGTTCGGGGGAAAAAAAAAGTCACACTTAAAAACAGCTGGAAAGTCCCCAAAAGCTGAGGTGAAGCAGATCCTCCTGTCCAGAACCCACAGACACAGCTCTGCAATGCCCTCGAGTTCAGGGTGAGCAGTTCTGCCATTTGGATGGAGCTACAAGCAATCTGAGACATAAGTTATTTCCTAATCATACAGGAGAACAAATGCTGAAATACACTTCTCAAGTAGATGCTAAAACTTAATGCTTCATTATCAGGAAGCTACTGGCTTTTAAGTATGTGAAAAGCCACTCCAGACTTATGACTGAGAGACAGTCAAGGCCAAAACCGATAGAACTTCAACTTGTTTGCTTGTTATTTGTCAGGTTCATTATTTAAATACAAGATTGTTTTCTTAATTTAATATACATATTTACACAATGGCTTAAAAATTAAGTCATAATCCACTGACTGAAGTTTTATTAGTAATAATTGGATCAGATTACTGCTGGCCAAAGTAACAGTCCATTAAAGAGGAGATTGCAAACCAGATCTCCTTAGTACTACCTTCCATCAGGGCAATTTGTAAATTAAATGTAGTGCTGGCCTCCCAGAAAACTCAGTGAATCATCCTATCTGACAAGGCTCGAGGTTTTGAGCAGGAGCTGGTGAAACACTGAAGCCACAGTGTGATTTTACAGAAAGCCACTCACATCCTAAGAATTCCACTGCCCACAGAAGTTATCACCCAAAAAACACAGGGCAAACTTTTGGAAGACACAGCCAAAAAAACAATGGCTGATATTTAATAGACAGACATGAAAAATAAGCCCTTGAACTGCAACTCAACAAGCCAACTGGAGACTCTTTTAATTTCACAGCAGTGCCTCTGTTTGCATCACTGTGACAATACTTCTGTAAATGACATTTTTTTGGCTCTCAAATACTCTGAGAAGCATTTCTTCCATGCAATCTGGAATCATATTTGAGGATCCTATAATACTTCAATTTTCTATTTCAGTTTTCATATGAAGTGTTCGAGGCTTTCTGGAATTGCAATTTAAGTGTAGAACAGACACCTTTGATCAAGACAGTTATATGGAACAAGTAATATGCAAATCACATCATCCTTCTATGTATTAAAAGTTGATGCATTAGAGACTCAAACACACAATTTCAGGAATATAAAGACCAGCTGCACCCCAAAAATTTTCAAATTGACAAATTTAGTCCTTCACAATGTCATGAAGCAAGACAGGCAAAATTACAGGAAAGATCCCAGGCTCATTCCAGAACCTGACAGGCCGTGCTTTGTCTACTCTTGGGACAAAGACCAAACATGACTTAGGCAGCTGGTAAGTTACTGAGCAGCAAGTACCTTTAAATCACAACTGTCTGTAGCACCACATGTGCTCCCTTGGGAATGAGAAAAACAGACTATTTTCTTCGGAATTAGAAATCACAATTATAGTCCTTGAATGAACAACAAATAGAAGCTCAAAGCCCCCAAAACACATGAACTTTTACTGCTTTAACATTTTCCCAATGAAACTACTGCCTGTTAAGCTTAGTATAGTGTTACTACCTATTTTCTTACCTATTTGGCTTGTATTTTATTTCTAAAACATTCTTAATATGCATTTGCTTCCAAGCAGCATTCTGTGACCAACCTTGTTTATTATCAGAGACAGCCCTTAGAATTCACATGAATGACTAGAAAGCTTCCTGGAGCTCCACTCATCCTGCCTTTTAAACTAGACTAGTAGCCAACCCAGGTAACTAAGAACAAAGTAAAAACAAAAGAGATGCATTAAATGCACCACGGTAGTGTAAATCCTTTCAGAGTGATGGTAATTTAACCATCCTCTGCATTTCCTGAATGTCAGTTTATACTAAAGCATTCCCTTATATCAATGGCTTTGACAAGTCAGGAGAAGTAAAGTAAAAGGTGGCAATAGGGAAAGTGCTGGAAAAAAAAAGACCACGTTTCTCTCAGCCAAGCATTGTAGCAGATTTGTTCAATGCTGTTCCTCCATGGTAACCCACACCATGCCACAGCAGCAAAACAACCACACAAGCACAGAGCACTGGGTAAATAAAGATTCTTAATGCTACCCTGGTATAATGCAAATGGAACAGATGGTCAAAGGCATCCACTACCAAAGTGATCATTGAAACCCACACATCAGAACTCCTGGAGAGCACCATATTTCAGAAGGATGTTTGAAGTGTGTAGCTGTACCGAAGCTGGAGGCAGAACATTCCTTGTTGGATTTGACGATCAGACTCCCAGTGAGGTTCCTCAATGAATGCAAACCCTACTAAACCAGTCCTAAATATATACTGGTTTTACATGGATATGTTTGTGAGGGAAAGTAAGGAGTTCTTATCACATCACTTATTCCACCTGGCTTTGCTCTGCATTTAGGCATTTGCTTTCAAGGTTGTCCTTATTCTGAGCAGTTGGTTCCTCACTCTGTGCAACAGAGATTTCTGACTGCTCTGTCTGTGTGGTGTCAGCCAGCTCCTCTTCAGCCGAGCTGGGGCCAGGCGGCTCCTTCACGTGCAGGGTGGGATTGGTCATCTGCTCTGCCTCTTGCTGAGGGGCTGCATCGCTGCTGTCTTTGGGAAGCTCATGGCAGTTGACAGGGGCTATCACCACAGGAGGCTGAGGTAGGTCTTTCTGTAAATGGAAGATCACAGTCAGAATGATGGAAAGCAAGAACTATTTTGTCCAGTTATCAGAAGTGATGGTCATACAAGATTCTGAAGATTAAAAGTCCATCATTTCTGTTATCATTCTCCAGTAGTGGACACATGCACACAGTTATCCTTTGGGTTTTACAGGACACCAGGGGATTTTTTCTTTCCAGAAAAGTGTTTGCTTTCTGCCTGATTGTTCCTCACCAGTTTCAAATGTGCTCTGCTGATTAGGCAGCAACAGGCAAACAGCACTTGGTCCTTGGCCACTCTGGTTCTGCCCACCTTTACTATCAGTGATAAAGAACTGGCAACTTTTCCATAACGTGATCTCAAATATTTCTCCAACAGTTAAATTCAGATCTCTAGAGGAACATTGTGAAGGTTATTACAAACAGTTGAATAACAAAGTAAAACTCCCGGGGGTGAACCGCTAGCTCAATAGATTTGGCCTTCAAGTAATTATTCAAAAACTGAAATCATGCATTGTGATAGAAATTATTCCTTTCTGAATCAAGTTAATTTCACAGTGAAACAAAGTGATAATTTACTATACTGAACTATACTTCTACCTTCATAACAGTAGGCTAGGAAAAAAAATCCAAGATATGTTTTATATAGTATTAAAAACCGTTATATTTTATATTATACTGTAAACTTTGAGTACTAGTGATACTTTCAGCAGAGATCAAACAAGTAAAATTATGGCAGAATCAAGAAGGATAGACAAGGTCTACTTTACTTTTCACCAGCCAGATTTAAGTGGCCATAAACATCACAAAACCCAGAAAACCTTGCTGGGACAAAAAAAAGTAAGTAAAAAAAGCAACCAATCAAGCAAACCCCAAATCTTTGTGTTTGTGTGATAAGACTGCAATACTTTACTCAACTTTAATTCTAGTTAGGTTTTTATAACATTAGTATTTCCTGAAGACACTCATATCAAACTGGTATTCACCGCAAAGCCGCTGCCCGTCCAGAACATGGCCAGCTCCCTTCTCCAAAGGGCCACTGCGAAGCTGGTGAGGAGAGTACAGGGCACCAGGTAGAGGAGAGCAGGCTGGCCCATCTGCATCAGTGCCAAGGCAACAAAGGTCACAAGAAGGCCTATGCCATATGCTGGAAGAAAACAAACCCAGCAAAAAACCAGTTATTCAGATATAGCTTTGCTCAAGCACAACTAAATAATTAGCTAGATGAGCATTCTCACATTAACTTTTGTCAAGTAATATTTTTTCAGGGCTCTTTGGAGAGAAGCATTATTTACAGAATGCAAACCTGGACTACTACAGTCTTTCTATTGATAACAACATGTTGTGAAAGTAGTGTGATTGGCCTAGTTCATATTGTGCACTTGAAACATTGCCTTAAGCAAAAATAAACAAATGAACTATTGCACCTCATACTGCATTTATGAATTCAGCAGATATAGACAAATATTTCGACCATGATTATGTGCTTCTTTTTTGGGTTGGCTTTACTATCCTGCCACAAAGCTAAAACAGAAAAACCCCAGCAAGCTGTATGTTATAACTTTTTATTGCTTTCTATTTAATTTCTGCATAAATGTGGCAAAATTTATTTAGTAGAACAGAAGCAGTGTGGATCTCATAATTATTTTCAATTACATTTTCAAGACAACGACGTTAATCCAACTGCTTTTTATTCAGAAAACAGGTGAAGAAAGACATTGAGGGGCTGGAGCATGTCCAGAGAAGGGCAATGGAGCTGGGGATGGGTCTGGAGCACAAGTCTGATGAGGAGCAGCTGAAGGAGCTGGGGGGGCTCAGCCTGGAGAAAAGGAGGCTCAGGAGGGGGGATCTGGGGAGGGTCGGGCTCTGATCCCAGGGAACAAGGGACAGGAGGAGGGAACGGCCTCAAGCTGTGCCAGGGGAGGGCAGGTTGGATATTAGCCAGATTTCCCTCCCCAGAAGGGTTGAGCAGCCCTGGCAAGGCTGGCCAGGGCAGTGGTGGAGTCACTGTCCCTGCAGGGGTTTAGAAGTTGTGTAGATGTGGCACTTGAAGACACGGTTAGAGGTGGCCTTGGCAGTGCTGGGTTAACAACTGGACTCGATCTTAGAGGGCTGTTCCAACCTAAATGATTCTGTGATTAGAATACTCACTAACCCTTTACAGTTCTTGAAAATGTTTTTTTCAGAGCACATTCTGTTACTATTGAGAGTTCCTTGTATCTAGTTAAAATATTTCGTATTGTGACTTAAGTCCATTGCCTCACATCTCATCTGCACACCTGTAAGAAAAGTCTCTCTGTCCTCTCTGCAGCCTCCCATTAGGCAGTTGTGGGACAGCAACAGAATCTCTTCTTTTCTTTTTTTGCCTTCTCTTCTTTTACAAGCATGTGCTCCAGCCCTCTTGATGGTCTCCACTGGATTTACTCCAGTATGTCACTGTCTGTCTGGCACCAGGGATCCTGGTTAAGATTCAGTCTTAAATGACAAATTGAGAGGCATAATCATTTCTCTCGTAAGTGACGATACCCTCTTGCTAACTCAGCCCTGTGCGGCTGGTTTTCAGAGCTGCAATAGCACACTGCTGACTCTTTGGCAATACAATATTTTCTATCATTTTCTGCAAATGCATTTTGAAAATACCAGGTAAGACAACAGTTTCTAAGAGATTACTTGGAACACTGAAATAAAAACCTCTCTAACCCTGCTAGAAGTCTATATGAACCTAGGTATTTTTTTCAGAAGAATTCCTACAGCAGTTGCTCATGAACATTTTTCACAACACTAACTGCAAGCATTGGAAGCCTTTGCTGGCAAAAGTACATTGTAAGAAAACCAAGAGGAACCTGTCAGATCCTATTCATCAGATGTATTTACATCCATGTCATAAAAATGTGGATTCTACAAACTAAGGAAGAAAACTAATGTAGACATGTTATAGTCATCATAACACAATTCCCTGCATCACAGGTCAGGGGTTTTCAGAATACACAAAAAATTAAGAACAAAGGATGATATCCCTGAACCTGAATTCTCATACACCATAAACTCAAAAGATTCATGGCTCAAGAAACCAGAATGAGTAGAGCTGAGCACATGCAAAGACAGTGTAGCTGCAGCGGTTCTAGAGAGACCCTTTGGAGCCTTGGGAACAAAAGCTCCCCTTACATATGGCAAACAAAACAGCTCAGGAAAGCCACATCAGCTGCTTTTGTGATGGAAGATCCAGCCTTGAAAGCACTTTGCTAAAATATTTCTGTTTAATAATAAAAGGAGGAGAAGGATAACTATGCCATGCAAGATTGAGGACATGCTTTCAAGAGGGAACAACTCCTGTAGGTCTTGCATTCAGGTGTCACTGTGATACATACCTATTGTGCAGGCTACAAAATAGACTCTGGATGACTGCACCTGAATATCAAATCTATGGCAATAGGCTACCAGTAAGCCTAGGAAAGGAAAGAACAGTTAAACATGCTTTCAACCTAGTCACAAAATCATCAAATTCATCAAACCAGCTAGGAACTTTTAAGAATTTTTTCCCCCAACACTTCCTTGGAACCCTGTGTTTAAACACCATGACAGCACCATTCAGGAGACTGCACAACTTACAAAGCAGTTATATGATAGCACAAGTCAGTACAACAAAAGCACTCCAATAGTAAAATTAACAGCTTCAAATACATGGGTCATGGATAGAAAACATCATCTGATCCTTACTAAACAGTTGTAAAAATACAGTGTTCACAACAAGATACAAGAAAATAAGCAATTGATTTCCCAGAAGAAATCTGAAAGCCTGCAGGTGCATACTTGTTTTCACCTGCAGTGATGCCAGGCATTCTTCTACACACTATCTGAAATATTTCAGAGAAGGTGTGGTAGAAACACTGGATGTAGTACCACTAACAAAATTAGAAAGGTTTGAGAGGTCAGAGGTATGTACTCAAACCATGTGCAAATGGACAAATAATTTCCTCTATCACAAGACTATTAAAGATATTTTATAGTATAAAATCAGTTGCTAAGTCACCTCTTGCAATTTCTCTACATTTCTTGACATCACTGCATGTGAAACTGAACCATAAAATTAATCTCATTTCTTACTGAGAAGGTGAATAGTGTAGAAAAAAAAAAAACAAGTTATATTTACAAATTTATCAGGTTTATAATAGTCAGATCAAACTTTCCACTCGAGTCAGAAGTGCAAGAGGAATAAACTAATATGACAGTGTAACAAGTAAAATTCTTAACCTGCTTAACAATACCTGGAACTAAAATGTCTCCAAATCCTAGCAGAGAAAAAGGCCTGTCACACAGAGCTAATGGTGAGGAATTCAGTCGTGGAACCTTCAGGACCATTGGGAGCTTAGAGAGAGAGAGAGACACAGGTCTGATAAAAAGCCATTTTCTCTATATAGTGGCACTACCTTCCAGAACTTGTTCCTGTTGTACTCAAACTGCAGGCTTCAAATACAGCTAATGTATCTTTTTTTACATTCACATTACATACAATATAATTGCCATCTAAAAAAATGTGTAAGATAGGAGTGATGAAGTACACTACATTTATTTCAAAATCTTCACATGCAACAGGGTATCAATTCTGCTATAACTGCAGGAATGTAAAAAAATTAGTTAAACTGCAACATGCATTAGAAAGAACCATTTATACAGTTAATTCATCTGGTTGCAATAAATCTTAAAATTAATTCATCTGGTTGCAATAAGTCTCAAAAGAGCAAAGACATGAATAATTTTAAAAAGCAAATTTTTCAAATCACTTTAAAGACTTTTCCCTCACTCCCCAGTTATTTATTGCACAATTTATTCCTATTTATTACACAATTTGCAATGTTGAGGCACAGTATGCCAAGGTTCATTGCAAACCTGCATTCTCTTTATTATAGCACATTAAAGAAACTTTATTTAATATTTCGTTTCTTATATTTGTGCCAAAATAATCCTATCTACTTATACTTTCATTACTGTTTTATACAATTCATTCTGTGCATAAAATTGAAACTGAAGGGGTACTAAAGATGTACAAGAAAGAAGAACAGAAGAAGTCAAAGAAATTCGTATGGACTGTATGGATTGATCCACATCCTGCAAACAACTATTTTCTTTGCTATTTTCCATGTGCCATTATTACATTTGTTGCTGAAAAGAGACCCAACATCCTTCAATTAACAAAACCAGGGTTTCCTACAGATTAATTTCTTGTTTTGCTCCCTGTACCTCACTATCTCCTCCATCTCACATACTCTGCTCCCCGAGTCAGCCACATCTCAGGTACAGGTGCTCATGCAGCTCAGCTGGCTGCTGTCCAAGGTGCAAAACCACTGAACACACACCTCTGTTTAATGTCTCCAATTTGTGTTTCTCTGTTTAATGTCTCCAATTTGTGTTTCTCTCCTTTATCTACAGACTCAGCTTTTCACAAAGCAATTGTCAAAACAGGGAGGGAAGGAGAAGAGACAACCACTGTGTTTCATCTCTTTAGGAAAAAATGCTTATGCTTAATTAGCAGTAAGTTAATATTTACAGATGTGGCCAAGTTTTTGTGAAGCTGAGCTAACCAGCTTGCTTATACTGAGAGCCTTTTAAAGAAAGACAGAGGAAAACCAAAGCTGGTGTGATGAACCATCACAAGTCTGCCTTGGCCCCCCAGAATAAGTGCTCAGGAGCGCTTATTCCCACATTAAGTTCTTTTCAGACTGCATCTCCATTTCAGCTTTCTGGTCTTCAAATTTTAGAAAAGTTAAAAGTGTAATAGTTGGAAGTTAAGTTTTTAGACGCAGACTTTTAGATTTTTAGACTACATCCAGTAAGATTTTTAGACCACATACAATACCTTCTCGTGAGTGGCAGAATCCGATGGGCCCGCAGCCACCTCCACCATTATACTCTCCCCAGTCTAAATTAAAAAGGGGAAAATTGTTAATCAGCATTTCAACAGGTCATTACACTTTGCTCTGTGGGCAGCAGGCAGTACAGAATTATTTTACTTACCTTTGTTAAAAAAGGTGTGATAAATACAAAGAATACATCGTACACAAAGAGAACCAGGAGGAGCAAGGTACAGCCCTGAAGAAGTAGACAAGATACTTGGTATTTACACACTATGCACTAATAAACAGCAAAGAATTATTAATAATCAGATTACTCAAGGAAAAAGCTAACAAAGACTAAAAAAAGTCACCCATATATTTTTCTTAATTCCTGAATGTTTTAGGTGGAGGAACTGGATCTTGCATGCACCATATAAAAGAAAGTAATTCTTGGACACAAAATTACATTTTAGTCCCTAAAATTCTTTATCATGTAAAATCTGCAAATGGTGCAGTTTCAGATTGCTAGGAAATAAGGAGTTCTGCACTGGAGGATGCCAGGCACAGCTTGAAACACTATCCACCTACATGCTGCCAGTCTATACAAATTTAGAGGTGAAGATACCTTGAAGCAGAGTTTGAAGAGCTGCTTAAGGGGCAATTAAATGACTAATACTGATTTTTGTCTTAGGAAAGACAAAAGTTTGGAAAGATTTGAAAAAACCACCAGAATGATGCATTAATTGTGTGTCAATTTGAAAACAAACAAAACCAAACCAATAAAAAAAAAAAAAAAAACAAACACCCCCCCAATCAAAACTAAATCCCCAGATGGTGGTGTGTGATTTACTAGCCAACACTACAGAACAATCACACGCCAGTTATTGTTCTACATTATATTCATTACATACATTATATTCATTACATCCCTCTTTTCCAAGCTGCATATGAATGTTGAGTGCATTTCCAAGCCAATGTACTCCATTATAAGTGACTGTTCTGTTCAACTACATACATGCAAATATCCTTTCTTTACATCTGTTTAACTTTCATACCTTAAATGTAGGCAGGCGAATTGTTTTCAACATGTAAAGACAGAAAGCAATTCCTAAAGCATCTTGCAGAACCCAGGCCCACCTTAAAAAGAGGAGAGCAACATTTTTGCAGGAAACAGTAGGAAAGGCAGACCAAGCACTGTCCTCACTAAGGACCTGCTTGGGACAAAAAAGAACTTTATTCAAAGTACTTGCTGGAAAACCATACTGTTATCAGCATGGATTTGCAAATGGGAAGTTGTGCTTGATCAACCTGATAATCTTCCACACAGAAATGCCTGGGAGATGAGGGAAGGTGGGTGGGATGCCATCTATCTAGACTTCAATCAAGATTTCCACTGAGAATCTTCCATACGATCCTCATGGAGAAACTGATGAAGTACAAGCTGAATGAGCAGTGAGGTGGATTGAAAATTGGTCTAATGAGGTCACTGGATACCAAAACAGGAAGTGCTGGAGCCTCAGCACTCTTGTGTGCTGAGGCAAATCTACAGCTGGGGCTGGTTTTTGATGGTACTTTGCAGTACAGAAGTGCTCTTTGCTTTACTCTCGACTGTTAGGGTCAAAGAGAAGCAGGATCTGAGGTAACACTAAGGCTTCCCCTAAAATGGCCAGATGAGAGATTATGCTGTTGTGATCAATCCCTGTGCACTTGCTGATGGAGGTTTGTGCAGGAGACACTCAGGCCCACTCCAGCCTTGAGGCAGAAAATGGATTTCCTAATCCTAATATCACAGGTTGAAATATCTCTATAGCACTTCTGTGCTCCTCAGCCTGACACTCATCTCTCTAAAAGGTGTTTCAGAGTTGATGCTTCTTGCATTTGAATTGTGTCACTGAATGATCCACACAGAACACAGACTGCACAAATGCAGTAACTGGCATTCAGGGCACATCTTTGGTATCACCAGCAGAAACACAAGCCAGTGTTTCAGTTCCAACACTGAATCCCTGAGAAAGGAACCAAGAAGATTAACACATTCTGTATATATGGGGAAACTGGAGCATCTGGGAGTGAGGTAAGAGGTAAAAAACCCCAAACCAAAACCAAACACACAACCCACCTCTAACAAAAGTGCTAAGCACGTGCTTCAGTTAGGTACAGCAGCAACACTGGATGTAGAGAATTACTGACTAATACCAGATAGCTGAAAGAAACTAATGATCTTACCATCTTCCCAGTTCTTGTTCCCAAGAAGAAATAAGTTAGACAACTTGTGTCCAACTTTCCATCCCGATTCTGAGAAGCTATCTTAAATCAAAGAACTCAGAATACTGACTGGGACTCAGAGAAACTAAATTTAAGAAGAGACAGTTCTCTCTAATTAAATCAACAAGAAAAAGATGAAGTCTATAAGGAACAACTAAGAATTTCGACCTGTCACTCCTAAATTCTGGATACATTTAGGCTCCTGTAGATGTCAGTTACTTATACTATAAAGCAGATTACAGTTTTTAGCACAGAAAATAAAATGTACACTTACTGATCTTCATTTCTGAAGATTCCCCAGACTACGCTGACAGAGATACAAAATATTGCCAAGAGCAACATTCGGACCTGGGGGCGCTTGTGAAAATAAGGCAAGTTGTTGTCTGGGATCCTGCAAACAAAGCACACGAAAGCTACAGTTGTCTGTGTGGTTACCCTCTTTCTTTATAAACATTCTGAAGTATGTAGCTACCTTGTAAATCCCACACCTACCAAATAGGATAAAAAACTAAGTTTATGTATTAAAAATATAGAAGTTGCCACATACCTACACTTTCCCAAGGGGAATCTTCTTACAAAGGGAGACAGACAACTGTAGAGACCAATTGAGGCAGCCAGGCAGAATATTCCTATAATAACATAGACTGAGGAAAAAAAAGGTACTAAGTCCAAGTGGGATAATGCTAGAGATTCTTTTTTTCATACCCTGGCTGAATAAAGAACAGTCAATAAGCTTAAATGAGAAATAAGGCTAACATTTAAACAGGGAAAGGTAAATTCTTGATTAGATTTATGCTCTTTAACTATCTAATTCTGGCTCCTTTTACTCAGGTGTACTTTATGCAATACCTACTTCGACAAATCAAAACCTCTGGGCTAATATTCTTAAAGTAAATCATAAGCCTAAAAGACAACCTATGCTGAAGTGTTTATCTTCTCTTTATGATTCTATGGGAGCATTGCAAGGGAACTCTTAAAATCACTCAGTAGCAAAAATAATTAATTCAGATGGGATGCATATCTCACTACTTCCTCAGAAACATGAGGATGGAAGTTTCAGTGCATTAGGCTCTCATGGTTTTTTGTGAAACAATTTAATAAATGATCAATAGAAATTTATCGTCTTTATAAAGATACAAAAATTGATCCTGCATCCCAGAACTTGACTTCAAATTGAACAATAACAGAGAGACAAGAATAGGTTTGAGAACACAAGAATAAAAGGTGGAAGATGCTAAGTCTGTATCTACTTAATAGGCTTTAATGTTTGAAAGAAGTTCTACGATCACCTCATCCAGCCTCACCAAAAGTAGAAATCTACTCAGTAGGTTTTCTTACAGGGTTTTAAATCATATTGGGATGAAGAAACGTGACAGAAGACAGAAATTTCATAATTATTTTCACAGTCAAAATGCTCTTTAAATGATGACAGCCTTGCAGTACTGAAAATGTATCAATACAAATACAACCTTAAGAGTACCTAAGTGGTCATAGAAGAAATACAGCAGGACGAGCATTGAGCAGCACATCACTACAAACACACAGATCATTATTGGAGTCACATCCACCGTTTCATCGTCGTGTTTCTCTGTCCCATCATCACGTTTGTGCTTCATGTACCTCCTGAAAGAGTAACGTGGCCACGGTGAGCACATTCCTTCTGCACCAAAATACACAAGGGAGCTGAATCTTCAGCAGGAAATACGTGGGGATGGAAAACACGTCATAACACCAATGCCTGCTCTGACTCCCACTCAGGTCAGTGGAACACCACGTTTTCCATGGATGCATGAACACCAGATATAACACAATGCACAAACCAGTAACTGCTGCATTAGTTTATCTCGAGTGCTATTTTCATTCACCAAGAACTCAGTGAATCCTGAAAATTACCCCAGAACAGTTTGCTGACTTTGGAAGAAATCCTTAAGTGATGTCAATGTTAGAATTACCTCCTCCCCCAGTCCCCCTTACTGGGAAAAAGTAACCACAAAATTCCATTAAAAGATTCATAACAAACATAGCACATATTAGCCATCTAATCAATTTGGTTTGCATTATACCAGTAAAAGCAGGTTTGGGGTTTTTTTACAAGATATTTTTCTGGTGGATTTTTGCAAAAGCCCAACAGAAAGCCTGTTACTTTATAATTTTCTTCTTTTGAGCTTTTCAAATGTTTGGCCTTTTGACATGGCAAAATACAAAAACACTGTACATGCAATTTATACTGTAATGATTTCCTACAGTGATCAAGCCAATAGAACCTCAGGGCCTTTCAAACACCACCTCAGTATTTGCCCTTTCTGGTCACACAGACAGTCTCTAAACCTCACTAGCAGACTTGCCAGGGGATCTTTACATAACCACCATAATTTTTTTTTTCTATGAAAAATACAAGATAACTGACATACTGAACTCCAGCTACTCACTTTTTCACATCTCTGCTTCCTGCCCAGTAGCCTCCAATTGCAACAGTCCCCACAGCCATGACAAAGATAATCACCATGTTGTAGTCCAGCACAGGCTCATTTGGTGCATACATTGCCCCTTTCACTGAGCTGCCAAAACTCTGGGGAGGTAAATATGAGTTATGAAGGACATCCAAAAAGCTACCTTAGCAAAGGTTCACTTATTTAATTTTCACTAAGCAGGCTCAGAATCAGGCTTTATTATAAACATTTAAGAGTAATCTATTGGCTCGACTATTAGTGATATTTATTTCCAGCACCAGGCTCCATTCTGATTTTATTCCAAAGATGAAAAATAACCTCCCAAGAGATCTGTGTTTTTTTTTCAAAACCCAATAATACAATCTTCATGAGTACAGCTTCCTACATGAGATAATAACATCTCTTACATGAGATAATATAAATGAGAGCATTTAGTATCAAGTTTACCTTGCCAATATCTAACATGTCATTATAGCTGAGCAGAGCCACAGGAATATCAATCTCTTCATACTGACTCCTGTTACCCCCAGGAGGAACCTGAAAGACAGTTCAGAGGAGGTAAGAATATATTTATTTCTGCAAATACTTCTACTGCTTAGAAAGGGTTAAAGTTGCAAGTTCTGTTTCTGCCAATTTGAACAATGTTCTAGAAAGGAACATAATGAGAGCAAAACTAGATCGTACTCAAACCTACTAATTTTATTTTCAAAACTACTAATTTTACAAAACACATGCTGGTGATGATGCTCCAGCTGAATCTAAAGCACTAGATTCAGTGTGGCAGTACAATAGCCAAGAAACCAACCTCCTCCTTTGTTTCCAGTATTTCACATGGAATAACAGTAATACCGAGCTCTTGACTTGAATATCACATGAGCTCTGTGCAGACTCCTCCTACTTGAGTGCCTCTTGTTGTTTCATTCATCATTCCTTCAGATGGATGATTTCCAGACATAATTATGCAACGTACATACAGGCAGAATACACACACATTGTTTATTTTAAAGAGGAGCATTAAATCCCAGCAATGTGCACCAAAGACAATATCTGATATCAGAGGAGTATCAGCAACACAGAAAGATAAAAAGAGACTTACCAGTCTCTCTCTACTAACAATCAGCAGCCCACGAGCTCCATTTATCTGAGCAAGCCTCACTTTCTCATAGAAGGTGCAATTTCCTCGCATCACCATGGGGATTTGATTATTAAATCCCCCATCAGGTACATCAGAAGGGGAACACAAAACAGATCCTGTCTGATCCTGAAGTTGCAAAAGTGACTGAAAAAAAAAATTAGTTAAACACATATGACATAAAATTATAAAAGAAGAGCAGGAACCACAGAGTTTCTAAAGAGTAATTTAAGAGTAATGGAGTGATATGAGTATTCTCAGAGAAACACCAAACAGTGCTGCCCTCTCTATTATGTCTATTATCCTGCTTTGCTTCACCTTATTGTGCAGAATTCTACTGGTAATAAACTTTGGGTTATGATCTGCACTTGCATTTGTTTTCTTCAGCACTACTGCTGTTCTGCCACATGCAACCAAGGTGTGGGAGTACAGCAAAGTGTTCCCATTATTGGGGTGGCAGAGGGGCAGGCTGGGATGATGAAGGGTATGAACAGCAAGAAACTGAAACACAGGCTGGGAGAAAGTGCAAATGCAGAGGCAGCAAAAATAAATTTCCACGTTGAAACCTACCATGTTCAATGAGCTGAGATTTTGTATCCCAAATACTTAAATACTGGATTCTAGGCTGCTTCTCCCACTGCTTGTGATCCAGAGATATTGCAGGCCTGCCCCAATTCCCTAGTTTCTAGTCCTCCTGAGAACCAAAGACATCCAATCTGGTGTGTTTAAACAGGAGCATCCCAAAGACACTTCAACATTTTAGAAGTACCACTGGCACAAATTGTTCCTTGCAAAATCTAAACAACCACCAGTATCTTTGCCCAGTTCTATTTGCAAGTCATCTGAAAACCGCAATTATCTACCAATAACTGAGCTGTGCTCACAGAAGCAGGTCACAGTCCTCATTGGAGGTGAGCTGTTTGAGAAGTGTCAGAGTAAATTTTAAACGGAAGAACTGACACATGGAACACTCTGTATTAGAAATCCACAGGTACACGATAAAATACCTGTCTAACAGAGTCTCTTGTTTTAGGAGGTGAAAGTACACACCAGGCTGTCAGCAGCTCCAGGCTTAGTCAGAAAACTGCTGTCTCCAACCTGACTCCTGCTTTAGAGACAGGAAAATGTCTCTGCACACACTTCTGGTTGTCCAAGTTTCAGGTAAGCTTATCACTCTATCAGAGCAGAACACAAATGCAGAGTGAGCTCAGGCTGGTGCACTGCACCACCTCAGTTACTGAATTGTACTGCTGGAGTATGAGAGGAGAAGGAGGGAGAATGGGAAAGAAGGGAAAAGCAAGAGAGAACTGAGGAAGGCAACAGAGATATGCAAGGGTACAAGCATACACAACCCAAGTCTATGGGGAAGTGTCTCTGCAAGTCATTCTGGGCTAGATTGGCTCCTGCAAAGCTACTGAAATATATCTCCAGTGAATTTTCATGAGACTGATTGAAACAAGGTGTTTACAGTACAGTCCCCAACCCTCACAAATACAATTCTGTCATTAAGTGCTGATTCATGCTACACACTGAGGGCAAGTGCAAGAGTTTATCAGCTGGGTCTACACAAGGCAAAGGCAGCTGTTGATGTATCTGGGGACTAATCTGCAGTTGCAATAAACTCAGCACAGTAATTAAGACTATACATCGATAAGGAACACTAACAATTCCGTGGGGCACTCAACTGGTAGATCAAAGAATACAATGAACCAAGTATCAGTCAGCTACATCTTCCACTATTAGTAGCTCATCAGAGTGCATTTGCTGATTTCATCATCCAGTGACAGTAACTTCTTCTCACAGAATAAAGAACTGACCCAAATGTCAGCCCATACAGATTTGGATAATGCAGCAAAAGCTCGACACAGTTTGTGACTACTTAATCTTACACTTGACAAAACTATGAATCACTAAGAAAGCACTAAAGCTCACAGTTCAGTATATTAACAAAGCCATGTGGTATCTTCTCATTTCATGCTGATATACCAGAACTTCTTTCCAACCCCACCTATGCCTCATTTTCATTTCACTGATCACATTGTTGGAAGATTTTTTTTTTAACCAGTAATAGTCATTACCTCTGCACACTGCCTGGAAATGAATATTGCCATCTTAGTACTGCCTAGAGCGATCTTAAAGACATTTTCTAAGTATAGCAAACAAAGCAGTTGCTTCGAATTCTACTAATCCCCATAAGAAATTGCAAGTTTCCTTGAAACAACGGCATTTTTGAATGCATTCTTCAGTCATTTCTTAGCTAGGTACTTACAGCTTTACCCAGATCATGTGGCAAATGGGCCCATTGAGAGTTGAAGAGGATACAGTAGTCCTTTCCTTTGCTGCTCCCCTTCTCTGAAAGGACATGTACCATCCCATACTCGCAGTACACCTGCAAACATAACAAAAATTTCACCACAAGAATTTTAAGTGACATAAAATAGCAGAAGTGATGGGCATAACTTGCTGTTGACTGGCCTGCTTTGTATTTTTTTAAAGAAAAATGAAAGATTCTTACTGTTCTAAGGACTCTGAAACAAATCCTGCTGCCCATTTCTAAATGACAAATGGGTCCCTTGTGATGCTTCTCCCTCTGACAAGAGGCTCTTGTCCTGGCTGGAAGAAGGCATTCAGAGTGTCATTTTAACACCAGCCAAGTCACCATTAAGTTCCATGGGACACTTCTGTGCTCCTGGGGCAGCAACACTGGGATTGCAGGCTGTGTCTTGGGAGGAGTGTCAGGCATCACCTCCACTCACTGAAAAAGTGTAAGTTAAGAACTCTTTACTCCATACAAAATACCAAACATCAGTTTCTCGGTACCAAATCTGCTCACGTGCATTCTGTGACCATCTGGTCAGGTTTGAACCAACACCTTAAGAATTCAGTGTAAGATTTGACCAGCTGCTGCAAAAAGCTTTTAATGTTTCAGACAAAAAGACATTGAGATACAAAAGAAATGCTCAGAAAGGAGGACAAAAACTAACTTTTGAGAGTGTTTTTTTTTTTAAATGTAATTCAATTATAGAAATCCAGATCAATGCTTCTTTTTGAAGGAGAGTCTTGCTGATCTTCAATCGTTGCTTTAGAGCCTCACAGTGCTCTTACAGAGCTACTTCAATGTTCAAGTAGTGTTGTCTGGTAATAGATTATAAAAAGGCGATACTGAGAGCAAACATAAATTATACCTGTATTTTAACTTCTCACGAGCTGTTAGACAGGAAAAAACTGACCACATATTAACAGTAGCAGTCTCAAAATACTATTTTAGCCCAGTGATTTGGGAATCCAGTGCCTAGGAATACCAAACACTGCTTAATGTAATTGGATTCTTCCTATTATCATTCCTATTTCCTATTATCATGTTCCAAAAGCATTTTTTTCTTATTGTAAAGGGAAGTGTTTCCATTTTATCGGCATTTTAACTGAGGACACTCAATAATCCTTACTAGCATGTAGCACTTTGAAGTTTGCTTAAACGTGAATAAAATCTCTGAAGCACGTACGATAATTGACCTGGTGCTCCCCTGAGCTAGTGCCACCCTCGGTTTCTGGTGGAACACTGCCATTCATTGACCCAGGACACAGGATGAGCAGAGACCAGCAATCCACCACCAGCAGCGGGTTCAGGGAAAAGAAACTGAAAAAACCTCAAAACAAACAAACCAACCACCCTCCCCAACTATCTTACCTTTCTACCATCGCCCTTTGTGTCCTCCTCTACCCATGCACCCAACTCCTCCCTTTCTATTCTTCCTTGTCTTTCTCCTGTCCAACACTCAAACAATTGACTGAAGACACGTTTAATTGCTCTACTGCTCTGATTTAGCTTTCCCCAAGGAAATCACTTTGTGCCTGATGAAACCTTGTTCTGGAGAGAAATCCCTAAGCATTGCTGCTACTAATTAGAGAGAAAGTTCTGACAGACTAATCTGTCAACATCTAGTTTAACCAATGAATCAATAATTATGTAGTTACACTCTTACAAATACAACTTACACATCTCTTTCTCCAGGTAGCATCTGAGGAACAAGATACTAAACATGACTGAAGTCAGCAGCAAAGTCATATCTTAACACACATGTTCAAAAATCCATTAAAAGAATCCATCACTCTTATTTCTCCCTCTCTATCTCAAACCCCACTACACAGAAGTTACCATGCACCCCTAGGGTAAAAAGATGCTTTTTGGAACACTTTCAAGAACCACAGAATGGTTTGGGTTAGAAGGGTTGCCTGGTCCAAACCCCCTGCCCTGCACAGGGACACCTTCCACCAGCCCAGGTTGCTCCAAGCCCCGTCCAACCTGGCCTTGGACACTTCCAGGGATGGGGCAGCCACAGCTGCTCTGGGCACCCTGTGCCAGTGCCTTACCACCCCCATTGTAAACTGGCCCTTTGACACACACAGAGGCAATGATGGCATTCTGCTGCAAGATGTCAGCAAAGCAGTAAAGAAACACCATTGTAAAAATACACAGGAGGTACAGATTTTTATATTTAGCTCTCTGTATATAACTGATCTTTGCCAACTCGTGCAGCAACTTTTCCCCTTTTTTTACAACATCAGTGTTCATTAAGTGCTCTAACACCAATGACATTTGTCCTGAAGCATGGGAGGTCACACTGACTGGGCTTAGATAAGCAAACAAAACATGGTATAGCTCAGTTTTGAATATTACAGCTCTCTCCAAAATCTTCAGGCAGTTTTGCAGGAACTAACTCCTGTAACTGGACAGCTTTATGCATTTGTGGAACAATCAACCTGTATACTTGAAAGTTTTACATCTATAAGATATAAACTACATATCTTTAAAACAAGAGAGTAAGTACAGGGTGTGTTGCTACATGGAGATAACTATTACTGGAACTCAGGAATAATCCCCAAATGGCACCCTGGAGACAGTAATACACAGTTTTGCTTTCTGAGCTACTTAATGGATGTTCTTTAAAGGAATATTAAGGGAGTAAAAGGTTCCTAATGTGAAGTGCTCAAAACATTTTAGAAGCTATGTGGGTTTGTGTGCCAAAAGCCAAGTAAAAATCAAGCATGAAAGGAATTAAAGACAATATGAACAGGGCTAAAAGCACAAGAGTTTTAGAAACTCTGTGAAGAATTTAGTCCCTTGGAGAATGTGGATTAACAGACATCTTTACAAGGCAATTATCACTTAGAATCATAGTTCTGAAGTCTGTTAACAGCCACTACAAGTTTGCTCTTATCCACTTTGATGCTTCCAGTTTTGTTTTTATTCATGTCAGTAGGTATCAGACAACAGAAGTTCAAAGCAATGCTGCTGATTCAGTGGCACGGTGACAACATTTATGATGATTCTTAATTCCTAGAGATCACTTCATATCCTAGATAACCCAGCAGAAAAATGTCATCTCCTGTGTAGATCCTATACAATGTCCCTCCAACCCCAAGGGCTCTTTTCCAAGTGTTTGGATGTCAAGTCCAGCCTTTTTCAAACACAGAAAAATAACAGCTGCTGTGACAACAGCAGTGTATTATGATACTTGCTTTTTACCAGTCCTGTTGCTTAGAAAGCACATAATACTGTATAATTAACATAAAACAAACTGTTTTCTATAAAGTTGAAAAACTGGAAAATGTTTTGACACAACAGAAACAAAGTTTCAAGGCAAAATTTAACAGGCAGGTGAGCTAATCTAATGTTTGTGGCATTAGAAGGACATGCTTGTTGGCTCTGAATCTTATCAGGTCCTTCCACAGTTAATTTAATGCACAAAAGAGCAGAATACTCCCCAGTTTTTTTTCTGTGTGAGTTTATCAGTCATGTTGGTGAACTAATAATGTAACGCAGAGACAAGCAGTAGGACTTGCAAGGTCTATGATGGAAGAAGGTAGAGGTGAAGAATTCAGCTCACCAGTATTTCAAGAAAGTGCACTGAGTGACCAAGCCACAAACCCAGTGGCTCTGCCTTGTTTGTCCCTCCCTGCCTCTGGCCCCACACTCACCTGGATGCCCCATCCACCTTTTCCACTTTCAATAGCTGTATGAGCTGACTTGGCCACCTGAATCTGAGAGAGACTGGACAGATGCTGGGAGCTTTGTTCCCTGAAGAAGGAAAGAATGAGCTATCCCCACTCTTAGGGTAGGTACCATGTCAGAGTTCCCAGGAGCTGGGGTCATTCTGTCCCATAAACTGCACCAACTCATCTGGAGACCAGCAACAGCAGACAGTAAATTTGCACACAAAAAAAACACCACTTCTTCAACAAACACTGTGCAGTGGAGAGAGCTACATATTCATAATGCAACAATTCCAGGAGAGTAAACTGCCAACCACTACCTCAATCCAGAATTTCAGGCAGTCTTTTCAACTCTTTGGAACTACATCATAGAGTACCCTGACTTAAAATACAAAACCATCACCACAATCCAATATTCTGCTGAAAGCTGCTACAGTGAAGGCCAGTGCGATCCAGCACACTCGCTGCAGATCATGTTACTGTATTTGTCACTGGCCAAAGGCTCATGTACATGTGCTGTTTTTACAGGACAACTCAGAGGTAGCAATGCCATGAAGGAATGGGAAGGTAAATGAAATGTGAGAACTTGAACACCAAAGCAAGATGTAAGTGCAGGCTGTAGTTGGATCTATAAGATCACACCCCTCTTCAGGTATTCCCAAATGAGGACCCAGATCTGGGAGAGCAATGCTTCAGTAGCCAAGTTGGTCCTTCTCCCTAAGTCAGAGTGTAGAAGCAAATGTGGACAACACCTCCTCCTGCCCCATGGAAAAACAAACAAACAGAAAGTTCTATTACCCTATTTCAAGGAGGGAGACAAAGATATATGCCCAACAAACTAAGGCAAGAGTAAGCCATTGATGATGAGTACAGCTGGTACACAGCAAAGGCACACAGCAGCTCATGAGGAGAGCTGTCAGCTCTGTCCCCAGAATAGCCTGACCATGGGTCACAGGGGTATCACGACAGGAGTGCAGCAGAGCACTGCTGTCTGCCTCAGGCTGAGGGGGATGTGCTACTCAAAACCATCCCAGCAAATGCAAGCACAAGAGATGCGGAAGTACTGCACAGTATGAGGTATTCAGATAAATTTTAAACGAGCCAGCTTGGCTAACAGAAACATACTGGCAGCATACGGAACATTAATTTTTCACTGCAGCAGCAGGACTGTTTCAGCACCCTGGCCAGTCTGCCCAAGCTTGCTCAAGCATGTTAACACTTCCACTGCACAAACACACCAAACGCTTACGAAAGGAATGTGCTGCAATGCGTGGAGCTGAAGGCAAGATCTCCAAGTGCCCATCAGTGGACTATCTCACCTGCTGTCCTTCAGCACTGCCACGTGCTCACCTTCTCCAAAAGGATGGATCAAAATGACTCCATCTCAGTCTTTGACCCATTCTTGCATTTTATTAATCTGTGGGGCATATGCTGGCACTACCAGTCCACACAAAGCGTCAAGGGAGATGACAAAATGCACAGGGGAATAAGAAAGGGATGACCAGAAAAAGATGATGAAGGAAAAAAGGGGACGATGCAGAAATAAAGAAGTTAGCTGATAACCAGACCACACTGTAACTAAAGATCACTGATAAGGAATCCCTATGCAGACAGATACAGAAGAGGGAAAAATTAGACTACTATGTTAAGATGTTACACTGATAATACTCGAGAAGACACGGTACCCTCCAAAATATGTAATAAAGATTTAAGAAGTCTAAACGACATGTTAAATGATACTTCAACATTTTCAGAACACAAACCACTAGAATTTAAAATACAAAAGTTACGTACCATGTAATACAATAGCTAAAAATCCACTCTCTCCTGTATCAGGTTTACATGCCTAGCTCGTCACACCCTTAAAAATTTATCCTTCAAACCTAATTAATATTGAAGTAATGAGAATGTAAGGCTCAGGACAGATTATAGGGTCAGCAGAAATCCCCCTTCTTTTCTGCTGGTCCTTTCTCAGAGCGAGCCTGTCAGTCGGGACGAGCCCAGATCCGTCCCTGCGGCTGGGCTGGGCTGCGCTCCCCTCCCGGGGCTGCTGGGCCGGGCCCACGGGGACCCGAGGTTTAAGAACTACGAGAAGTGCGCTGTTAACCACGGAGAGAAGAAAAAAGTCCCAGACAAGCCCAAAGACACGGATCTGTAAACGCCGCCAGACTGCGGGCCGGGCCCGCAGCGCTCGTTCCGCCGCCCTCCTGCGGCCCCGGGCCCGCCCCGGCGGCTGCGGCACCTCCGGGCGCCCGGGCCGCTCCCGCCGAGCCCGGACACACACCCGGCCCGGCACGGACACCCCGCACAGCCCGCCCGGGCCCGGCTGAGCCCGCGGCCGCTCCCGCCCTCGGCCGGGGAGCGCCCGGCCCGGCGCAGCCACTGACCTGCGGCAGGAGGTGCAGGAGCAGCCAGAGGCGGAGCGGGGCCGCCATGCCGGGCCGCTGCCGCTTTGTTCAGACCTGGCCCGGGCCGGGCCCTTCCGCACCGGGTCCTCAGAGCCCGCCCCGGACGTCCCGCCCCGCCAGCCCGGGCCGCCAACGGGCTCCGCCGGGGCGGAACGTCACTTCTGGCGGCGCCGGATGAAATGGCGAGCGGCGGCGGCGGTGGCGGCGCGGGGAAGATGGCGGTGAGGGCGGCGTGCGAGGGGCGAACCGGGCTGCGCGGCTGCCGCGGGAGTGGGTCCGGTCCGGTCCTGTCCTGTGCCGTGCCGTGCCGTGCCGTGCCGTACCATACCATACCGTATCGTGCCATACCATATCATATCGTACCGTGCCATAACCATACCATATCGTACCGTGCCGTGCTGTACCGTGCCATACCATACCATATCGTGCCGTGCCGTACCGTGCTATATCGTGCCATACCATACCATATCGTGCCGTGCTGTACCCGCACCCCCGGCATGCCCTCCTGCCCCGCCGCGGGCAGCCGCAGCAGCGCCCCGGGGCTGCGTGTCCCCGGGCGGGGCTTTAACCGCGCTTGTGCCTCTGCCGTAGGACAAGGAGAAGAAGAAGAAGGAGAGCATCTTGGACCTCTCCAAGTACATCGACAAGACCATCCGGGTGAAGTTCCAGGGCGGGAGAGAAGGTGAGCCCGGCGCGGCTCGGAGCTGCTTTGCCTTTCCCCTCGCCCTGTGCCTGCCCCCCGCTCGGCTCTGAGCTCCGGAGAGCTCCTGAGAGCTCACGCTGCTGTCCTTTGAAGAGGGCGAGGGATAGCGGGTGCTTTTATTCGTTGCTGTTTGCAGTTACCGCTGGGAAGCTTTTCTCCTTTAACTTTTCCATTAATCTCCTGGCTGTACTTTTATCTCTGTGCCTCATCGATGCATCTCTTCTTTTGTCGGTTGTCTTGAACTGCCTTGTTTTGGCAGGATTTTTGCATTGCAAGGGCACACTTAAAGAAGCAAAGAAACGTTTATGGTTGTAATGATCAATACAGTTGTCTTGCCTTTCAGTCTTGTCTTTCACCTCTGAACATGCTAAACGTGCCCGGAGTTCATGGTTCAGTAAATGTCACTGTATCTCTGTTGTCCCTTGCTGTACAGCTGGGAAGTACATCCCGATGCAGCTGTCAGTGCTACCCCCAGGCACTTGTTTGTCTGAGTTAACCCTTGCTGCGTTTTTAAACCCCACTGGGACCTGATGCTTACAAGGGTTTGGAAGTTACTTGGACTTCTTACTGATAAGTGTATTTTTAAAACTGGAAGATCACTCTGTGTAGTTTTGTGATTTATTTGGTGACCAGTGTTGTAGTCATGATCTGCTTTAGAACAAAGTGCTGGTCTGTCTGCAGTGCCTTCCTGTGAGGCAGTGCTTGTGCTAAAGAGATAATGTGCTGAGAGGGCACCTGGAAGAGGAAAGCACTTAAAATGTTACGATCTTGCTTAACTTTTTATCATAAACCTACATTAAGGATATTTATTTGATTTTGGGGTCACTTTTTTTTTTCCTTCATGTGACTTGTATTGGTTTGTTATGCAGAAGTATTCTTAAAATGCCCCTGAAATGGACTGAAAACAAAAATGTTAGTGTCTCAAAGAGCATTTTGAAGAATTGATTGAAGAGTCTAAGTTTCAGTTGGCACAACACAGACCAGGTTCTATGCACTTACTGTTGCTATAGAGGGCACTCTTTAGTATCTCTGATCTCATTTGCCTTGACTGAAGGAGGGAACAGGGCTGCAGAATGGAATGAATGTACCTTTCATGAAGTCTTGAGTTACTGTATACCTGATTTTGGTCTCTAATAATCATTTTCTGTGTGGTCTTCGATAGCAAGTGGTGTCTTGAAAGGATTTGACCCTCTTCTGAACCTTGTGCTGGATGGTACCATCGAGTATATGCGAGGTGAGTAATATGCAATCTGTGGAAAGCTTCCCTTCCTGAGTGATTTGTTTTTTAACAGAAATCTTACAGCTCTGTGAGTGAATAAGCAGAAACTGCAAGTTGACCTCACCCAAACTCTGCAGCATGTTCAGGGTAACTACACTGTAAGGAAAGGGATAAGATGACAGGTCTGTGGAACCTGGTGAGATGGACCTGAGGGGCCTGAGAGAATTGGCTGATGCAGTTGCCAAGCCACTCTACGACATTTGAAAAGTCATGGCAGTGAGGTGAAGTTCCAGGTGATGGGAAAGAGAAACTTTGCACCCATTTTTCAAAAGGATAGAAAGGAGGAGCTTGGGAACTACTGACCCATCAGCCTCACCTCTATGCCTGGGAAGATCATGAAGCAGATCCTCCTAGGAGCTCTGCTAAGGCACGTGGAAGACAGGGAGGTGATTCGAGTCATCCAGCACAGCTTCACCAAGGGCAAGTCCTGCCTAACCCAGCGACCTCCTGTGATGGAGTGACTCCATCAGTGGACGAGGGAAGGCAAATCGATGTCATTTATCTGCATTTCTGTAAAGCCTTTGACACGGTCCCCCAGACATCCTTCTCTCTAAACTCAAGATAGATGGATTACCCTGTGGTTGAACATCCTTGGTAGTCCTTGACTGACCTCCTATGTAGTTGCCTCACTTGCAGCTCTTGTCCTCAAAAGCTTGAGTAAAGAACTGTGTCTCTCTCCTCAAACAAAATTTATCAGTCGATAGGGCAGTGCTTTGGAAGAGTATTCTTACCTGCCTTCAAGATAACGCCTGAAGCTTTGGATTTGCTCCTAAAAGGGAGTTTTAAAAGATGTGTAGTGCATTTTTATTTGCTATAGTGACATGTCACAGGCAGTAGGGCTGGGTAATGTGTGTTTGTCTGTCCTGATCCACAGCCCTGTTGGGCCCAGTCTGAGAATGGACCAGTGCTCTCCATCCCTAATGCATTCTGAAGTCAGGATCTCTTTCTGATTTGCATTGATCTCCAAATGTTTATCTAAAATGATATTTGAAATGGGACTAGGAGCTTTTTTTAATCACTTACATGTATGCTATTGGTTGGATGAATGAAAGGACCTTTGAATACTTTAATAAATGCATTTTGCTTTTTTGTTGTGTACAAAGCAAAGTTCTTTACTGCTCACTGTGGTGTGTGCTGCTTTGAAAATTAGCAAACCAGTATTGTCTTGAAGCCATCAGATACTACTGCTGCATGAGCCTCAGAGCCCATATGTTCAATGCAGAGACACATGGAAAAAGCATGTATGTCTGTGCCTTTTGAAGCTGATGGAATGTGATGGTTCGGACTTGGCTCCTTGCCAAATGCCCCCCCCCCCCAGTAGTAGCCCCTCTTTTCCCCTTTTTCTACTTTATCCAGGGCAAAGGAAAAAAACTATGCAAATTGAAGAACCTGAAAACTAAGTTAGTTATATAAAAAATATATTTTATGTATATTACAGTTAAGAAGCTTTGTACACAGCAAATGGAAATTCAAACCACCCCCAAAGGGATAGGGAAAGGGGAAAAAAAGGGATAAAAGGAAATAAAAAGGGACACTGAATAGATATGTGCAATCAAACCTGAGAAATAGTAAAATAACTAGTAAAACAAATCTCACCACGTCCCTTAGAAAGTAGGCTTGGCAGACACGGACAGCACTCTCCAAGGTTCCACGTGGCAGGCCAGTGGATGCTGCAGCCTCAGCCTTAGATAAGTGAGACCAACGCAGGGACCCACTGTTCCTGAACTCCGGCGGAAGAGAAGAAGAACGAAGGCCGCTCCTCCCCTCTTATTTATACCACGATTTACGTAAAAATTGTATGGAATACTGGGAATACTGCCCCTTCTTTGGTTACAAATTGGTAACCAGGGAAGGCCTAGATTAAAACTACCGCATGGAATTTGGTTTCCTTTTCTTAGTTTTGCTGTTGTAACTGTGGATCTTTGCTTTTCAGATCCGGATGATCAATTCAAATTAACAGAAGACACACGTCAGCTGGGACTTGTGGTTTGCAGAGGGACTTCTGTGGTTCTTATTTGTCCACAGGATGGAATGGAAGCTATTCCAAACCCTTTCATTCAGCAACAAGATGGTTAATGCTTTCTTTGGATTGCCTCTGAAGACTTCAAGGGTGCAAGTCATTGGAGAAAACTATCAGTGTGTGAGAAGCTTCCTGTTTTGGGGAGGGAGTCTGAATGTGTATTTGTTAATGTGAAGAAACAGCTTTTATTTTTGTGGCTTTCCATAAATGATGTGAGGATGGGGCATGCAAGAATTAAGTTCTGGTTTCCCCCACCAGCCCCAAATGAGTGTGTAACTACATTGTTTAGAGCTGACAGGAGAGAACAAATTGTCATGAATTGTCTGAAACCCTCTTGATCTTGTGAGTTTTGAAAAAAACCCATAAAATTAGTTAAAAATGCCCAAAATATTGGTTATATTTTTAAATACATCAAATTGTATTTAATCTAAATTAAAACCTAAATACATCAAAACACTTTTTTCTTCCTCTTAGATGTCAGTACTCAACTGGGAAACATTGTGTTGTATTCTTCCTGCTGTTGAGTTCAGTCTCTTTTGTGCAGGGAATAACCTTCCTTGTTTAGTGCTGTGTTACCACCTTGGCAGAGGATGTGGCCAAGAAGGTCTTTTCCAGCACTTGTTCCAGATCTGGCGCACTGTGATCTGTGTGTCAGCTGGCTCACACATTCCTACGGAAGGACTGAACTGACTTGTGGGATGATTGTTGGTTGAGTAACTTGAACCTTATAGAAGTACCTGTTTGATACTTGGAATTTTAGGGGAAGAATATTTAAAATTCTGATGTTCAGTTGTAGGCAGTGCTGGAAATACTGCATATTTTTATATTGTAGCTATCCACTTATGGTTCTGCTTGTTATAACTTGATTTGTAAGTAAACATTCTTATTTCTTTTATACTGCAGAAAATGCAAGATTTGAGGAATTTTGAGTGAATAAATACAAATTAATCTGTTTCTAAATGTCTGTTTTTCAGTCTGTAAAAGTACACTTCAGCTGGCATTACAGTTCTCCAGCCATAAATCTAAATGACATTTCTTCAGGAGGTGCATAAACACAGCAGAATCAGGAGGGATCAGAGCAGAAGCCATGCTCCACTCAGGCAGGAAATCG